TTTAAATCTTAGCTTCTCCAGGCCCCAGTTCCAATCCACTTATGGTCCCTTTTGGTTGCTGTAGTGGCCTCCAAGTCCTCTGCCATGTGAATTCCTCCAGCAGAGATGCCAGGGCACTTGCTTTTTCCAAGAGTGTGAGCCAGACAGCAACATCTCATAGAGCAAAGGTGTATCTAACTCATCAACTATGTGAACACCAACATCTGGAGAAGATGAAGCTCCAGTCCTGGCAAGAACCTGCACCGCAGCCTTTCCAAAGGGGCTGGATGGCCAAAGGCATTCATGTGCATCCAGTAAAGACTAGGTGAGCTGTCAACCAAGCAACTGTAGCACAAATAAGGCCAACATGTGAAAATGACCTTACTAGAAAGCCAATTCCAGCTGTATTGTCAGCAGAGCCACTCAAGAACTGGTGGGCCATTTTTCTTAGCTAGACACACCATAAATGTAAATGAATGTCAACAACAATCTGACTTGCCTTCTGCAAATTCTTCAATTGGGACAGGAACACGTACCGTGTTGGGATGGACACAAGAAGCACACAGAACGTGTCATCCTAGCAAAAAAGGATGAAGGCAGCTTTATTTTGAAGCCTAAGTTGACAGAGCCTAAGGTTGGCACAAAGGCACCATAAATAAAAACCCAGTGTGATTCACCAGCACTGTCACCCTTGTAGATGCTGTATAGGCTGGGTTCCATTACAGGAAGCTACAGGGTGGTGACCCCAGTAGGATGAGCAACACTAAAAGATCCAGAAACGACTCCTGTCCTACAAAAGGGTATGCAGACTCTGCCCAGGTTTAACAGGACATAGGCAGGAAGGGTCTGAGAGAAGCTCACCTCAAACTGGTGCCTAGATGGAATGGGTCTATTGTAACTGCCAAGTGGATGCTAACATGCAGGAGCCTAGTGGGAAAGTTGGGACACTTGTTAAGGTGTAGCATGCAGATCAGGTAGCTAGGAAGGTAAAGGGCACTGGCAGCCTCATGGGATTCTTGGGGTAGCTTGGCAGGAAGCAATGAATTAAACCTGGTAGTATATTACCTTCTTGCACTTCCTGGACCCTCTGCATCCACCTGCTGGATCTTGTCTGATACTTCAGAGTAAAAAATAACTTTCTGAGGCAGGACCTAGTTTTTTTGATCTTTCTGTATGACACCTGATACACTGGAGTCCTGGTCCACAGGGAGTGTTGCAGTAGAAATATAAGAAATCATAATGAAGGGGGTAGTGTCACTGATGAGGTAGCAGGAAAGCTAAGGATGTTGGAGGAGCTAGGGAACCTGGGGGTGCTGGGAAGAAGGGGAGATGACAGCAGTGTTTTGCAGATGAAAGGGTGGACGGGTCTCTTGGCAAGAAGGCAGGAAGGAATTCAGCAGCTGGGAAGGAGCTGTTTTGTACAGGGTTATTATGAAAAGCAGTAGTGATGGGGGAAGCAAAAAGTGTCACATACTAGTTTAACAAGCTAAAGCATGCAATAACTTGTTGTTAAAAATACACAGCCTCTTAGGTCTGTCCCCACTTCCTAGAATGCCACAGGAGAGCCTACACACAGCTGAGCCCAGATGATAGGCTTTGCTCACGAAGTCTGCACCAACGCAGCTGAATCAGCAGGTCAGTAACTTAATTACAAAGAGCAAACAGCTAATGAAATGCGCACTTCCAGAGACAGACCAGCTGGCCATTTCTGTCCCAAATGCATTCAGAGCTGCTAAGAAAACAAATAAGCTCTCTATGATTGTGGTTGACAGATCAGGCCCGCCTGCCCCAGTTTTACGGGTGCTCTACATCCCATTTACTCCATTAGCAGCAAGCTGCTTTTTCCCCAGGAAAGCAAAGAGGAAGCAGAAGGATCTAACTGTAAAAGAAACTAATGTATGAGAAACAGAAGGAGCCAGGGTCCAAACTAATCTCTCTGATCTCTGTACAGGGACTCACTTGCGTCAAACAGCCATTATAAAGCTGTGAAAGGCTACGGAAGAGCAACAGAACTGTCTATGGTGGCCCTGTGCTGCCACCCTCACTACAATGGTTTACAGGACATGGTGGGGCACAATGGGAAGGACACACTGAGGCATGTTTCCACAACAATGCTCCAAGCTACAAAGTGGTGTGTATCTAGCTCTGGAAAACCTACTGTAAAAGTAGGGAGGTCCCTGGTTACTCCATCTTGAACCAGAAATCAGATAGACTCCTCCAGCTACGAGAATTACCATCAGGTCAGATGCTGTCTTTGAGGCCTGAGAACTGATAATTCTACATTTAATTTCAGTTTTTCTTTTAGCACATAGCATTTCCTTCTCCAGATGCAAATTACATTTTCATTAGGAAGTGTATTTCCATTAGGAAAAAGCTGGCATATTTCTCTCTTGGCATAGGCAAGGGAAAGAATAACATTGTTTCCCAGGGTTAGATTCATGCATACGTGGAAAACAAAATGGGCACTGTTTCAGCTTTAAATCCCAGCCAAGTCAGAGCTCATGGGACTCAGAAGGGTAGAAATCCTTTTACATACAACTTACATGTTTAAACTGAGTCTGGTTACTAGCGAGTTGGCCATTCCCTGGTGTTCTCAATGAGCTTGTTTAAGAGAATTCCCTTTCACGAAAAATTAAGATTTAAGATTGGCCTTCCTCAGGTCACCCAAGGAAGGGAATGTTATGCCAAAAAGTTTGTCTAACATCTCTCCCAACTACACAATTGGTCTAATAAAAATGTATTATGAAACAAAAATGAGCAGGGCTGTTTTAATACAGTTTTACTGTCCAACATGAAATATTTCTTTTCTTGCTGTGCTATTACCTGGTACCATTTCAACACTGGCGATCATCATCTCCCAAAATGACCAGGGAAGTTGGCCTTTTTTAACATACTCTGTGATTTAATTTCTTCTACACAGACTTCAGCAAATGCACTACAATGTACAGAGCCAGCACCCTGGTGGCACTCCAAGCTCTTCCTTGTTCTGAAATCTGGATTAAGAACACTCCATATATAAAGGCCACACTACTTATGCTTCTGTAAATCAAGGTGGACTTGGTATTTCTGCCAGCCAACTTTCAGGCTGCATGAATTAAACGGAAACTTTCATTCCTTGCTCCTGCTTATTTTTTTGCTGCCCGCTGAAACTACTGGAGCCCAACACAAGTTAGTCATTTCACAGGCTGAACTGGTACACAGTAAACAGGAACAACAAAAAATGACTAATCCAATGACGATGAAAAACTGCTACATTAACATTGTTTGGCTTAAGCGTCCTAGTAGACACCAGTCATTAAAAAACAAAATGAAAACAAACCAAGAATACAGCTAGCTGCCCGGCTGGCTCCTTTACAGCCTCACTTCATCACCATCACGCTGCTGATGCAGGAGCCAGGAGGACTGTGCACTCAAGTCTTCAGAGTTAGGGCATGTAATAAGCTATTACGACAACCAGCAGATTTGATTCAGCAAACACACAGAGCAAAAAGTCTTATTTCCAAATTTTTCAAAGCTCTTTAAATAGTTTTAAAATGTGGTAAAGAGAACAGTCTCAGTCCACAGTAAATGGCCTTGCTGATTCCATTTATTGGATAAACCATAACTACTTACAGTTAGGGACCTACTGAATTTGTGATTTTCGAGATTCCATGAAATCCAGCCAATACCTATGAAATCGGGGGGGCCTTACAGAAAATAAAATGCTGGCTCCCTTAGGGCACTGTGGCAGTGCGCCCAGGCAGGGAATGAGGGGAGGACCGCCTGCTCAAAGGGCTGCCACCGCTGCCCCTCACCACTGATTGGCTGTGAGGGCTGCCTGGCATGAGGCCTCGCTCCTCCACCCATCTGTGCTAAGGGGCAGGGCTGCATGATGGGCAGCCCCTTCAGCCAATCAGCAGTGAGGGGTGGGGTCACATGACCAGTATCCCTTGCAGCCAATCAGTGGCAAAAGATGGGGCCACCAGGGCCCCTCAGCCAGAGGTGTGATAGGGCCTGCTGTGCTCCACCCACAAAATGACAGCTGGGCCCCATGTTCTGCCCACAAAATCAGTGGGCAGCCACTGTGAATTAGGTAGGTCCCTCCTTACAGTTTGTCCCTTGGCAGGACCCTACATTCAAACAACCTGTTTCAATTGAGCTCAAGCTGTTGAACTCTATCAGCACTGGAATCAAGTGGATTTTCAACTCAGTTAAGCGAGCTCAGCTCATCTACCTCATTTGAAAGCCGCATTTTGTCTTTGTCTAGGCAAAGATTCTGAGTGTTATCCTTACATTGTAGTTCTAATCTGCCATGTCCCTAAAAGTGGCACTGCAGGGGTACAAACTTGCCCTTTGATTCCTAGTTTTAAAAAAGGTGCATACTTGTTCAAATGGGTAATTTTATTTATTTTTTTAACTTAACTGCAGAGAATCAAGCTAGGTTCTTTCCCTCTGAATCAGCAGCAACAAGTAAGAAGCTCGGACATGCTGGGTCAAACCCAACCCCTACTATATATTTGGAGATTGATAACTGAGAGGTACTTCGTGCAACCAACAAACAGAACTGCTTGCAAGACTAAAGAGAATTCAGCACGCTCTGCCTCCCTCCTCAGGGTGTCAGCAGACACAAAAAGAACAGTAATATTTTTACGGATGTCACCAGATACTAGTTGAATATACCCAAGCAGATCTAGTATGCAAGATGATGCCATTTTTAGTTGTGTTTCTACATTACATAGCTGAAGCAGGGACAAGAAACCAGATGAAAGGGGGGTGTTTGGGTTAATCCCCTGGATTTAGATTTAAATAAAAAAATCCTCACAAAATGGCAAAAGCCTCAAGGTGGTCAGCATTACTAGCAAGTCATGGAGCACTAGAAATGCCTTCTGTTTGGGACTCATGGTTTGGAAGCAAGTGGATTCAGAGGGGATTTTAGCTGAGCTGTTTCTAAATAAGGGTTGCTTAATATGACTCAGGTTTCTGTTTTTCACCTCTCAGGAACCTAAATATTCACACAATATAAGGTGACACTCAGACAAGACAATGTTTAAACTTTTCATTAAAAAGAATAACCAACGTAAGTACAACAGCAGAAAAACCCACCACACTGAAAACAACAATAACATTTGTCGCTTATATACAGGCCGGCAAATAAAGATATAGATTCTAAGCATCTATTTTAAACTGCCTCCGTTCCACGCCTACCAAGAAGCCCACCTGACCTGCTTGCTCCTGCTCCACACATGCCAACTCCAAAAAATAAAAATAAATAAATAAATAAATAAATAAAATCAAGCAATGTAGTGGCCTCAGAGCAGCACTAGACACACATCCAGTACCATCTGGGTGTGCTTGCTGGCATATACGTGTGGGTGGGATGAACTTCTTGATGGTGGTACCTGGCACAGCAGAGAGGCAATGTAGATATGCCTTAAGTTATTAGGGGGATGGAAACCTTATGGTCCAAGAGCATAACCGCATCTCCCACTCAGAAAGCCTCCGTTTAATTTCTGCTACTTGTCTGATGCTGTAAAATAGCAATCGGAAGCAATCCAGCTGGGATTTCGCCCCTTGCTTCACTCATCCATCTTTCTCAGGCCAGGAAACCAGCAGAAATGGCCACTGGAGGTGGCTAGGCGTGCAGCAGCTCCCAGTACTGCAGTGGGCAAGCTACGAGGAATGTAGAGCCTCTGGAATGCCTGGAGCTCAGCAGCTAAGAACGGGGGGTTCTGCTCCACAGTCCCTTGATCAGGGAGGCTGGTCTTGCTGCACAATGTGAAAGTCTGGGTCCCAGAGAGGTCCTCATTCTTCACCCCCTCTGGAATGACTTCATCTGTATTGGGAATGAGATACAAGGCACAGGCAGTCCTGCATTGTGGGTTCCCCTTTACTCCCACCCGTGCAAGCAGCCAGATGCCTGCACTTACCCTCACCACTGATCCCCAGCCCCTCTGCATTAAGGGCAAGCACAGACACAACAGAGCACCAGGCTCCACAGTGGAGAGGAATATCACAGAGGGTATGGGGAGCACAGTGCAGCTCCATGCCACCAATCCTCTGTGGTAGCTACACACCTTTGTGGGCTACCCTGGACCTCTTCATAGCCCACAGGGTGCCAACCACTGGTCTAGTGGATAGGGCAAAAGCTTAGATGTGGGAGGCTTTGATTCCCAGTAGTTCCAAACATGCTGTGTAACTAGTTTACCCTACAAAATGGAGATGCCACACAGAGGTGTTGTGAAAATAAAATCTATCCATTCTCACTCAATAAAAGATAAGACAGAAACTTGCAGGGAGCTTTGCAAGGTAAAAAGGCTTCAGTTACCCTTAATTTCAATGGTCTTATTATGGGTCACTCAATGCTTGGAAATAGGATTTCCCAGTGTTAAACAAATATACACCAATGCATGAGGCAGGAAAGCATTTTGGGAAACAACTGGATAAAGGCAACAGAAGAAACATTAAATATCTGAAAGAGGCGAGGCAATATCACACAGGAATACACCTCAGTTCAATTCATCCTTATTTAGATAGTTATGAGTGCACTTCATCGTGTAAAAGGCCAAGCCAGAAGTACAGCATCAACCCACAGTTACAAATTATCATCTGTCCATTGCAGAGATGGAAAGATTCAAGTTCTCACACATTCAGTGCAACAGGAGAACACACCAGTACACAAATTTCAGGAGTCTGGCCTCCAGCTGTAACAGGTTCTAGGTACAGCATCAGGATCTATATTAACATTAACAAAAGTATCTAGGGCACTAGGGCCAAGATTCAAACTGTGCAGTGGGATACATATGTTAATGTACTTTCAGTAATCAGATGTACTAAAATCTACTCAATAAATCCATCCATACCATTGAGTTTGTCCAGAGATAAGGGCACTGCTGTACATGAAGTGGAGGCGGGTGCTGCTGTAAGACACTGGGCACTGCCAGGAAGTACTTCATTCCAACCAAACTCAGCTTGACTTGGTTCTGCTGGCTGCTGGGAATGGATTAGGGAAATATAAAATTCTTCCTGTGACTTGGATAAACTAGCAGGATCTGAAGACTCTCCAAAAGAGTCTGGTGTCTGCAATCAAGTATAGAACAGAAGAGAAATAAGGATTAATGCATGCACAATTCAGCAGCTACCCTGATAAATATATTTAAGTGCTTAGGCATAACTGGATTTCTAGCACCTGCATTTATTTTTTTGAGCAAACAAAATTATGACAGCATCTCCTCCATAAAACAGAAGACAGCCTCTCCTCCACAGGCTCCAGGGTGGACAGTTGCTTACTAAAACTTACAAACTACTATCCCTGCTCATCTCTTTGCAAAATATCAACAAAATGTTGTGTGACCATAATCACTCCTAAGTTGACAGAGGCCCAAGAGAGAGCTAACAGAAGGCAGCAAGCGCAAGCAAGGGAATTTGAACTGAGATTAAGTAGGCTGTTCAACTTCTTGTAAATAGTGAAGGGTCAAATGACTGAAAGTTGTAGATAACAGAAAATTATTTATGTTGGACAAAACTGGAGACTATGGATCTCTTGAAGACGGACAGAAGTTAGATGACCAAGTAGTTTAAAGGCCAATTAAATTCAGTGTTGATAAATGCAAGGTAAAGCACATTTTGAAAGAACATGGAGAACTACTCCAATGCAACTGGGTCCAAATTAAGCAACCACTAAGGAGAGATGTGAGCAGCACACTGATGCCAGTAGCTCCATCCATTTCAGCAGAGAAAGCAGCAAATCAAACATTAGGGGCAATAAAAATAGGATTAACAATCATGAAACTATCTTAATGGCACTGACACTGAGGGCAACCTGCATTGACTTCTTGACAATGTCACAAAAGAGGAAGAGAAGAAGTAAGAGAGCTCCAAAGACAGGTGAAGGAAGAAGTTACCAGAATAGAAAAAGTGGCACAAGCAGAGACCGAAGACACTAAGGCTATTAAGTCTACAGAAGAGACAACAGAAGTATACAGAATAATGCATGACAGACAAGGTATAACGGGCATTTCTTTCTCCTAATACAAAAACTGGAAAGACAAATAATGAAAACTGATAACAGAAAATGCTACTTATACATAATTCATCTGTAGAATTTAGGACCACAAAAATTTCATTAAAGCCAGGAGATTAGGAGTCAAAAAAAAAAAAAAA